CCATCTCCCCTGCCATCCATCCACCCATCCATCCATCCATCTCCCCTGCCATCCATCCATCCATCCTTCCATCCATCTCCCCTGCCATCCATCCACCCATCCCTCCATCCATCTCCCCTGCCATCCATCCATCCATCCGTCTCCCCTGCCATCCATCCCATCCATCCATCTCCCCTGCCATCCATCCCATCCGTCCATCCATCCATCTCCCCTGCCATCCATCCATCCATCCTTCCATCCATCTCCCCTGCCATCCATCCTTCCATCCCTCTCCCCTGCCATCCATCCTGTGATGTATCCGTCCACCCATCCTCCTGTCTGTCCATCCATCCATCCATCCATCCATCCATCCATCCAGCTACCCATCCCTTCATCCATCCATCCATCCTTCTACTAACTCATCCGTCCCTCCATCCATTTGTCCTTCTTTCTACCCGCCCCCCACGCCCTTTCCTTGCCCTTCCTCACTTCTGGCTCATTGCCCCTTGACAGCAAATAAAACTCTTTCGATTTCCATGTTTACAAGACAAGAAAAAGCGCAGGCCCGAGATGCCGGTGGGACCCCTCTGCCGGGAGGGGCACGTGTGCCTGCCCGCCCCCAAACGGACAAACAAAGCAGCGACAGCAACGGAGACCCCAGCGCCCCTTCTCCCCCGGCTCCCCGCTGCCTGGGGACGCGGCCAGCTGGGAGCTGGGACTTTGGGGCCCGCTGCAGGACATGGAACATAAGAAGGAAGAAGGGGGCGAAAAGGAGAGCGGCCGCTGGGCATTGATTCCTCGATCCTATTTACAACCCCACGTCGGCCAACCGGGGAGATGGGTGGGCGGCATCTGACTGGGGACGCTAGAGGAAGAAAGGAGAGGCTGCCGGAGGTTCCTTTCCCAGCCCCGCCTCGGCCTGGTCGTGATTCGGGGGCGAGGAAGGACAGAACGAGCAAGGCCCAAAGGAGGAGTGGGGCAGGAACCGGCCCAGACGCCAACCCCACCCTGGCACTAAGTGACTTCAGACTGTTACAGACCTAATCTCGCGGGGAAGGGGGCTGGTTCTGGGGGGCAGGGGAATGCCCCAGCCAGGCCCCCCCTTCTAGGTCCTATCTTTTGCACGCTATCCACTGGGTAATGGGGGGGGCAGGCGCACGGGGCTGGGGACAGTACAATTGGGGCGGGAATTGGGGGAAAGCAAGACTTTTCAGGGGGGCGCTGAAGGGGCTTGTGTTTTGACGTTGACATGCCAGTATTATACATGCATGTTTTATATATTCTATTGTCGGGGGGGGGGGGGGAAGAATCACACCTAGATGGGCCCTGGTGGTGGCTGGGGGGTTTCAATATTTTGGGGGGGCTGGGTCACAAAAAAAAGCATTTGTTTAAAGGGAAAGGGGGGGGATTTAAGCCATTGGGGGGGCAGGGGGCCTTTCCCCTCCAGGGGGTGTCAGGTCCCATCTGGCCCCACAGCAGGCAACTGCTGGCTGAGGGGGGAGGGGAATAAGCCCCCCCTAAATCCTCCTTCTGTGACGTCTTGTACATGGGGGTTGTTGAATGGCCCCATGTCCATCAATGGGGGGGGGGGGATAACCC